ACTGCTGCTGTGCACTCAGCTAGGGGGTTTATCCCCAAACACTAACAGGAAGGACCCGTCTTCCACACCAGGACCAGGAAGCTGCCCCCAAGGGCGGCCTGCTCTTCCTGCCAACTTTCAGGGAGCTGTCAGCAACATGTAGCAGCTGCAACCAGAAGGCCCTGCCCAACCTTGGCGAGAGGAAGCCCACCTCTCACAAAACCCGGCTCTTTTGACACGGGAGAAATTCTTCTCGCGCAGCGGCCAGAGTTGATGTCATGCCTGCCCCAACCTGGGTTCTTAGGAAAGAGACACCCTCGACTCCAGCTGGGCGAGAGATAAACTTTTACTGAGAGACGAGGGGATACAACGCAGCAAAGCCAGAACTAAAAATCTGCACCAGAAAGTTCCCCGATAACTTTCCCTTCCTCGTTCTTCTCCCCCGTCATCTCTCTACTGCCCAGTTACGTTCGAACGAATGGTTTTGGTAGATCAGGAGGGGCCGTTGCATTCCACTTCCCGGCCCCTGGCCTTGGGACAATCAGCTGATGCCTCAGGAAAGTACAACGGGTTCCCGGGCAGCTCCCTCCCCCTCCCCACAGTCCATAGCAAGCTGGCATCTACCCAAGTGAGGAGGGCACTTCTCCAGAGGAGGAAAAGCAGGCAACGAGTCCCCCCCGGTTCCCGAGACACGCCCAGACCCAGAGGTCTCCCCGTTTCCCCTGGCTTCCCCACGGAGGACTTACCAAGAGGCACCGCAGGCTGGGCTGGTCCCCTGGGCGAGGCCTGGGTGTCCGCGATGCCTTGCTTGTGGCCCCAGAGGGCCCTCTTCTCCCTCAGTTCCTTTTCTATTTTGAAGAGCTTCACCATAATGAGGCAGCAATACACGTCCTGGGAAGCAATGACGGTTCCACCTCAGAGCCAGGCGGAAACTTCTCGCCCAAAGGCGGCGCCAGAAGAGTTGCAGCCGCAGAATCAGCGGAGGAGCAACTGGGAGGAGGGGAGGAAGGCGGAGCCTCTGTCCTCCCCTTCCACGTCCCAGGCTGGGAAGGAGGGCAGAGGAGGGGAGAGGGCAGGCAGCTGCGTCCACTGGGCCAGGCAGAGGACAGTGGGGAAACGAGCCCTCGGCCATCCCGGGTGAGCCCTGAAGGACCGGGTGACGGGTAAGTGAATTTCGCCTTGTTCTGTAACCTTTCCTGGCACAGTTGTTAAGTGAATCACTGCAGTTAAGTTAGTGCCACGGTTGTTCAATCTGGGTTTCCCCATTGCCTTTGCTTGCCTGGAGATCAGGTGACACCCTTCCCCCAGACGCTGCAGTCGTCATAAATGCGAGTTATTTCCCAAGGGCCTTGGTGCTGACCACGTGACCAAGGGGATGCGGCAAGTCGTAACTGTGAAAAACAGTCACGTCCCTTTTTTTTTCTACTGCCGCTGTAACTTCGACCGGTCACTAAACAGACTGTTGCAAGTCTAGAGCTGTGCCGATGGCTGTCTCCTCCCTGGGCCTCAGCAGAGCCTTCAGCAACTCAGCTGTTAAAGAGAACCCAAGATCGCCTCCCCTTCCAGCTCGAGAGGGGTCCGTGGAGGCCTCTGTCTGGGCTCTTCCCCTTGGGAGGTGGGAGGTGAGGTTGCCGGGGGGGCACAAGGCTGGGTGGGGAGACCCTCCCAAGGCCCAGGCAGAGAGAAACCACCTGAAGCCCAGGTCTGGCTGGTCAGTCCCAGGTGGGGAGCCCCGGCTGGGCAGGAGCGCGGGAGAAGGGGCCTCCTTCCGGGTGAGGAGGAGGAGGAGAGCCTGGCCACCTACCCAGTGGTTGGTCAACTGGTAGACGTCCCCTTCCACCTTTTTGGCGTAGGACACCACCTTCTCCACCTGGTGATCCTTCAGGAGGGCCAAGTCAGGAGTGGGGAAGATGGCATGGACCCTGCAGGGTGGGGTGGAAAGACCGCCGGCCTTCAGCAGGACTGGCAAAAACATGGGCACGGCAGCCGCCATGGCGGCCAGATGGATGGACTGTGGTGGTGGTGGTGGTGCCTTTTCGGGAGGTGGCAGATTCCTCTTGAAAAAGCACCCTTGGGAGAAGCATGGGAGGCCTGGAGGACTGAAAATCTCCATGGAGGTATTTAAAAACAACACTATTTCTATAGTCCCCAAGATGCTGCAAGGAGGGTGGAAAGCCAGGGAACCCGGATTTTGTTCAGAACCCCAAAAACTCCAGCAGAGATGTTGGGAGCAGAACAAAAGGCAGAGCGATCGGACACATCTATTTTTCTTATATTTCTCCCCACAAAACACCAGAGGCTTTCCCCCCGCTTTTCTTTGCCATTTCCTCACTGCCCCTTCCAAGCTGCAGCCCAGCACAGTTCAGCCCCCCCCTGGCAACCCCAAAGGGTTACTCACAGCCTCTGCACCACGTAATCGCACAGGTCCTGGTCGGTGTTCTCGTACCAGTCCTTCCTCTGCTGGAAAAGGGAGTGTGGGATCGGTCGCAGCGCCAAATACTGGAAGCGCCTAGCCCCGACAGCGGGTGCCGCTTCTCCGGTTGGGGGGCTGAAAAATGGACCACAAAAGACGCCCTGCGGCTTCTCACTTGCGTCCCAGAGCCAGAAACTAAACCCTGAGTAGCAGCCTCAGGCCGTGAGGGCCGGTGGTCGTCTCAGGGCTGAAGGAAAAAGAACTAGGGGGTAGGAAGCGCTTGGGGAAACGAAAGCTAAGGACCCTTTGGGTAAACGGTCCCAGAAGTCCCCCCTCGCTCCCTCCCCTACTGTCCCAGGACGGGCCTCTTACTTTGGCGCCCCAGGTGTCGCCGGGAGAGCCAGAGAGGAAAGGCCCAGCTGCCTGGTTCCTCCAACTTCAGCATCCCGGGTGCAGCGGCTGCTTGAAGAGAAGGTTCCCCCCGTTAGCTTGTAGAGAAGGAAGGCCAGCAGGTGAGCAGACAGACAACACGGACAGTTACCAGGCCGGGCTCTAGAGCTCCCACCCTCCCTCTGGCCACTGGCTGCTGGGCTCCACAGAAGAGAGGGCTCGTCCAAGAGGGCACCCAACAGGCCCAGGGAAAAGGAGAAAGACTAAAGGAAAGCTGTGAAGAATGGCCTGGGGGTGAGGAGGGGGGAAGTTTTCTCCCACTCCTCCATCAACACCAGCACAGCTGAGGGTGGGGAGGGCTGAGTCAGGGAGATCTCACCCCAAACGCAGGGCTTCCTCCATCCAGGGAAGGAGCCCCGTTTGCAGCAGAGCGAGGAGGAGGAATCGGATCCTGAGTGGGGATCCCCAGAGGGGGAGGGACCCATGGATTCAGCCGGGGGGGGGCTGGTCCTCCGCAAAGACAGGCACCACCCAGGATGGAGGCAGCCAACGTGGTGCCCGTGGGAGTCTCACCGAGCAATGCCAGCCTGGCTGCTCTCTCTCTGTCTCTCAGCCGAGAGAGACCTGGGGCATCCCCACCTCTTTGGAGCCCCACCATGACCACTTGGGAGACCTGTGGGCTTCCAAGTCCCAGAATTCCCTGGCCACCACAGCTGGTTATGGAATTCTGGGAGTTGAAGTCCACAGCAGAGGTGGTGTATTCAGCAGGTTCTGATCAGTTCTGGAGAACGGTGAGTGGAACATTTGAGCAGTTCAGAAAGCAACCTCTGACTGGCTCTGCATCCCACTGACTCCCAGCTGGGTCTCCTTTGGTCGCCCTGCAGAGGAGAACGGAGCTGGAAAGCAGGTCAGTGGGTGGGGAGGGAAGGGGGATTTTGCAGTATATCCTTCCCCTGCGCCCCCACCACCAGGGCACACTGACAGAACTGCTAGTAATACATTTTCAGTTCCACCGCCGGTCCACAGGCCTTTAAGTGGCTACGGCTGGACCCCGACCATCAGGTCCAGCAGGCTCCCCTTGACTGCTGCCCACAGCCTCCCCCCCAACCAACCTTTCTCCCTTGCTCTCCCCACAGATTCCCCGCCCTCCCCTGCTGCCATACCTGGCTCAGGGGCACCCCTCCTGGTCCAGCCGCCGTCCCACCTCTCCATCCTGGGGGGTGCCTTGGCCGGGGCTGCCTCCTCCAGGGGGCCGCGCCCACCAGGCCTCCACCTTCCTCTGCAGGGCGAGGCAGTAGGCCTTGAGGTCTTCCTGCATCAGGTGTGCCTCCTTGAAGGGGATCTTCCAAACTGGGAAGCTAGCTACATAAATCTTAATGTCCTTTTTTAGTGAGGGCCACCAGAACTGCCGCTTAACCAGGTGTAGGGTCTTCATGAAACCAAAATGACCAGCCGCCCTGGAATCATGGGTGTGTTGTAACACTTGGCTTCTCAAAATCTGTGGTATGTACAATTTCGCTCCCACCCAGGCCAAACCATCACTAACGGTGCAGTTATTCGCATTCGCCAGGAACCACTCATCGGTTCTCAACGCTTTCTTAAATCGTTCCATAAAGTCATTGGACAGCTCCGCGTCTTGCTTCTTCTTTTGCACTCCGGTGATCACCGGGGCAGCCAGCTGGGTGGTTGACATGATCGGCCTTATCACTTCTTGATGAACAGTATTGTATTGAGGCATTCTAGATAAAGCATCTGCCATAAAAATTTTTCCTCCCGGGATGTACTTCAAAGAGAAGTTGAATCGTTTGAAATACTGGACCCACCTAACTTGCTTAGGAGATAACTTTTGAGGTATTTTTAAGGCCTCCAGATTCTTTTGGTCATTCCATACTTCAAAAGGATGTTTCGCACCTTCCAGGAAATGTCTCCAGGTTAGAAGATCCCAACGAACTTCAAAAGCCTCCTTCTCATAGATGGCCAATCTCCTCACAGTATCTATCAACTTACGGGAGGTAAGGTTGTAGTGTTCCCTTTTCATTTAATTGAAGTAAGACCTCCCCAACAGCCACATCTCTCACATCAGCTTGGATCACGAAAGGGGCATCCATATCCGGGTGTTTCAACACTGGTTCTGCAGCAAACAGCTGCTTTAGCTTTTCAAAAGCAGCTTGGCATTCCATGGACCAATTCAATGGTTGGCTGGGCTTTGGTTTCGTTTCCCCCTTTGTCTTTAAAAGATTGGTAATAGGCATTGCTATTTTAGCGAAAGACGGGATGAATTGCTGGTAAAAGATAGCAAATCCTAAGAAACTTTGAAGCTGCTTTCGGGTCCTCGGGGGGGCCCAGTCCAATACAGCTCACATCTTCTCTGGGTCCATCTCGATGCCCTCGTGCGAAATGCGATATCCAAGGTAGTCCATTTTCTCTTGATGGAACTCACATTTGGACAATTTAGCATACAATTTGGCAGCTCGCAGTTTGTGCAGCACTGAGCGCACCAGTTTCACATGTTCATCTCTAGTCTCCGTGTAGATAAGGATGTCATCAAGATAAACCAAAAACCCCTTGTATAAATGTTCATGGAGCACTTGATTGATTATTTGCATGAAAACTGCTGGCGCCCCTCTAGGTCAAAAGGGAGAACATTGAACTGGAAACAACCCATCGGGCAATTAAACACAGTTTTCCACTCATCTACTTCTTTGATTCAGATTCGGTAATAGGCCTCCCTCAGGTCCAACTTCGTGAAAATCTTTCCTTTGGCCAGGTGGGCTAACATGTCCTTCATCAGGGGTACACGTTCTCCATGGAAACTGCATTTAAGTTTCGGTAGTCGACCACCAAGCGTTTGGAGCCATCTTTCTTTTCACAGAAAAACAATGGGGTCGCCACTCGAGGTCTAGCGGGTTCGATGAAACCACGTTTCAAATTGTTATCGATAAACGATCTCAACTCCTCCAATTCCCTTGGCGTCATCGAATACAGTTTTGGTTTTGGGAGCGTCACCCAGTAGAAATTCAATGCTACAATCGGTTGACCGATGAGGAGGGAGCTCATCAGATGCCTTTTCGCTAAACACCTCTCTCAAGTCCCAATATTCCTTTGGGATTTTCTCCTCTCCCTCCAAGCTCTCGGCACCTGTGGAGGCTGACTTAACTGGGTTCTGAAGCTTCGGATGGGATTGCTCCTCGTTTTCCGGCCGCCTATCGATGCGAATCTATATCCACCCTTTCCTCCAATTCACATGGGGATTCCACTTTCGGAGCCAGGGCAGTCCCAATATGGTCATCTCTAGGGGTTCCATTATAAAACGTGCAGGGCAGCCTCCCGACACTGATCCATCCAGTAGGCAAAAGGATATGGGCATTTTTAAAGTTCTCAGTCTGATGCCCATCTCCTTAACTATTTTCATGCTGATTACACACCTCGTGCAACCAGAGTCTAGTAAGGCCAACATGTCCCCTTCGGACCCTGAAGTGAGCACCCTTAATTTCATTGGGATGGTCATGGGCCTCTTGTTAGGACTTACCGGGATGTCATCTTCTAAGTCAGTTTCACTCTCATTGAGGAAAGTCGGAGGTCCCAGCTCTTCTCCTGCCAGAGGGGCGACCTCTACAACCTCCCCTGTCTTTAACCCGGTTTTGCGTGGCTTGGTTGGGGGTTTTGTGGGCTTCCTCCCTGCCTTCTGAGCTCCCTTTGGATCCAGCTTGACCCTGCAATCCGGTGGCCCTCCTTGCCGCATCGAAAACAGACAGTGGATTTGGGTCTTGCCATCACTCCTCCCTTCCGAGGTTTTGGGGCCTCTCGGAGACGCGGGGGGAGCGGTTTGCTCCATACAGGGCCTCCTCTGCGTCTGCTTCGGGTCAGATCTATTTCCACTTCTTCCGCTAGCAAGTACCACAGTTGCAGATCATGTGGATCCCTTCTGGAGATGCACATGTGGTATATATCTTCATTTAGGCCATCTTTGTAGACTTCTATCATGGCCCCCTAGGACCAGCCTCGGATGTGGCATGCCAGCTGTCGGAACTCTTGGGAGTAGTCAGCAACTGACCTCCCCCCTTGATTTATGGTTTTCATTCTGATCCTAGCCTTTCTCTCCGCCAAGGGGTCCTCAAACCTCCTCCTCAATGCAGTCATGAAGACATTGAGATTCCGCAGTTGGGGGGAGATGTCATTATACAAAGTCACCATCCACTCTGCCGCTATCTCCTCCAGGGCCCTGGTAACGCATCTCACTTTGGCTGCTTCAGAAGTAAATTCCCTCTCATATTCCTCCATATAGCTCCTGACTTGTGCCAGGAAGAAACCCAAATCCTTGGGATTCCTCCCAAACTTCACGTCTAACAGAGGCAGGTTGAGGGCTGTGCATCTTCCAGGGACCACACCTCCCACTGGGGGCCCCAGGGCGGCATCCGGCTGCTGTGCTGGTGTAGGCTGGACTAGGGGGGTGGGGGCAGCCTGACTTCCCTGGCTGAACTCGCTCCCCCTTCCCCCTCGTACCTTGGAGCTATGCGAGGCTTCTCAAAGGCATCCTTGAGGAGTTGTCTGGCTTGATCTAGCTTGCATTCCATCTCTTCCTTTTCTTGCCACAGCTGCTCCCTCGCTCGTCTTCAGGTTACAGTGATCCCAGGAGGAGGGGGAGGTTTCGGAATCCCTCCGTCCAACACCCAACGACCATCTGGGCCTCTCAGCTGGGACTTCTTCCA